CCCAATCCCAGTTTAATGTGCAATTTTAAATCTCTCTTAAATATTAGAGCTGAATGTTTTTTTGTAATTTTTTTTTTTTTTGTTTTTTTTTTTTGGTTGTTTGTTATTTTTTGTTTGTTTTTGTTTTGGACGTTTTTTGTCGGTGATTTGAGACGGCTTTAAAGACATCAAGACGAGTTGCCACAAACCTTTAAATACTTGTATCATTGTAAGGAAGTGAGTTTGGGAGAAAAGCTATTTTCATACCTTTTATTGCTCTGTAGTTTATTTTTACATATTAAGATAATTCTAGTTTAGTGCTCATATTTTCTTATAAAAACAGAAAATGCTCCTTTTTTTGGGATATTTATCTTCATTCGCTGTGGACTGTAAATTTACTCCAGAGTTTGAGTCTTTATATTTTTGCACAGATTGAAAGAAGAGACTCGCTGCATAAATTCAGAACTTTTTCAGGTCTGGATGATTTTTTTTTTGTTTTGTGTTCTCAATGTATATGTACTTAAAGTTGTGTTTTCAGACATGGACATTTATCTTTAACATATAYCACTGCATTAGGTAATGAGGTAGCCCACAGTGTTGTGGTTGGCTGTCGTTTTTGTTAATGTCACACTACAGATCGAGTTGAATTTATGCTTTATAGTTTGTTTTTTTTACAATAGGGAGCAGAGTATTAATAAATGCCTGTCTATTGTAATGAGGATATTCATGTGATGCTTTCGGAATAAAGACTTCAGTTTTACACACCAAATGCTTACAATGCCAGGTTGCTGTACACACTTTCAGGGCTGCAAGATAAGTGCTGACATATTATACTATTCATTCGAAAATGTGTCAGCATTTTAAAATGTAAATCATGAGGTGTAATAGGGAACTATAATGGGTAAGTAAGTGTTTTAAAAGGTAATCACATAGTAGTAATTCCTTAATGTACAAGTTTTGATACAATATTACAGATATAAGCAATTTCAAATGGGGCAGCAACGCAGCCAGCTCGTCAACTTTCAAATTCTGTAAATTATTGTTTCAAGGGTTTGTGTTTTTTTTTTTTTTGAGAGTTTGAAATAAATGCATTTGAATTCACGCTGAAAATATTTATTTCACCTTTCCACCAAGTTTTATAAACCTTAGTCCAGTAGCTAATGCATTATTTTACTGACAAACACGCAAATGAATTACTGCTAAAATTATAGCTGCTAATTTTAGCTATTCTATCGAGCTTAAATTTAATTAAATTTTACTTGGCTAGTATTACCCCAAAAGTTACATTTAAATTTGGCTGATAATATTGGTGCAACTTGTCAGTTTAAGGTTATTATAATTTCTATTTATCCCCAATAAATTCTGTCGTTTTTTTTTCCACCCAGCTGTATGTTTTAGTTAGACCAGGTCATTAATACCTGCACCTGTTTCTAGAAGTRATAGCATTAGCTTCATAATTAATACCACAGAGCTAGCAAGACAACATTAGCAGTGTCCTTTACTGATGTCTGGCAATTTTTCACATTTTATAACTTACAAAACAATAATAAAAAGAAGTTTTAAAGTCACTTCCCAGGCTGTAGCCCCTCTGAGCTAACATACAGTAGCTAACCGCAGAATAAGCAGTTTTTTCTCGGCAAGGGGATCTCTGTTCAATGTGTCCAAGAATTAAAGGAGTTTATTTATTCATTTACTTATTTATTGTTCAGTTTCAACAGAATTAAATTATTAATTAAAATAGGAATAAGGAGATTTACCTGTATGCCATTTGTATCTGCCAAATTTCGTATCAAATTGATGGTCATCACGTCGGTCCGAGCGGGCGGAGTTTATACACAATCTCTGTGGGCTTTATTTAATCCTGAAGCTCCTCCTTCACGTCGTGAAGCCGACTCACGCGCCGTTGAACTGGTAAGGAACAGACCCAGTCACTGCAGCCTCACACAGRGGCCCCATTTTCCCCGTCCTGATTTTAATTCACATTTTTTACTCTGTAACAAACTTTCAAATTTATCTAACCCTTTAAAATTCTAATATACAAAGCATGATTTGTTTCTGTTAAAAATGGGCTGCTTTTTTCCCCCCTATGTGGCTAGATTGATGTTTATGACCGTTTACTGCAATTGTTTCCCTGTGTTAACTGGAGAAAAACACTGTTTTTAGCAGATTGTGTAGCATGACAACAGTTCTTCGCCCCTTAATAAATATTTGTATTATAAAACAAAGCAGAAAATGGGGGAAACTAATTCTTTTAAGAGGTTACTACAAAAATGTATTCAATGAACAATACAAATCTGTGGTCTAAGTGTTTATTTTTAGTTAATGTTCCCATCAGCTGAACCTGTATCAGTCCCTTACAGAGCTTATGGGATTAAATCAGGTATGTTTCCACTGGTGTGACACCACAGTGTGTTTWGAGACTGACATTCAAAAAGGGTTTTATAGAACAGTAGCATTGCATTTTTTTGTTTTGTAAATTAAAGAAGGGAAACTCTTTTATGCGTTGCCAATGATATGWTTTTTAAACATAATATGCTGTACAATAATAATTCAAACTGTTGTTTAACGCCTATGTATTTAAAGTGACAAAAGCTACTATTTTGAGGGGGGAAAAAAGGCAATATGAAGAAAATCATCTCACAACAAGATGTAAGTAAAATGAGGGAGGATTTAAAAAATCATGCCATTTATGCTGGTTATTGTTATTAGAGAGAGATGTTAAATAAAACCTCTGTTCCGGTGAAAAATGTGTGAAATCTTCACATTTTATGGTTTTTAGTGGTGGGATTTCCCCCTCTCGATACTTTACCAGATTAGACAAAGAGCTGTGTTTCTGYAGAGGAAGTTTTACACTTCTGTCATTTAGCTAAAGGAATGTTTAGTGTAAGTTATTCATCAGATATTTTATTTCTCAGCTCGTAATATCATGACATTTCTCTCATTTTTTTCTGTGCCAGATTCATGAATAAAAACAATCGAACTTCAACAATGTGACCACGACCATTTTTAGCTCTTTTTATACTAGTTTTTATATAATTTTTGCACTTTCTTAGCATTTTCAATTGAATCTGAATTTATTTTGAAATGTGAATACATTTGCTTAAGGAATATTAGCAGAATTACAAGATTATTGCTGTATAATGTCATACAATACGTGCATAAATAAATGTCTGTTAAAGCTGTAAAAACACTGAACTAAAGTGTTGTTACTCTTTACAAATTTAGCATTGCATATTTTAGAGTACAGATTCGCAGCCCATAACCTCATACTTTAGGGTTTATTCTCTCCTTTCACTTGCGTCGTGAATTGTTGAAACAAAGTGCACACAAACCCATCTTTAAGACACGCAAACAGGAGTGGGTGTGCTGTCGATGTGTCAGAATGTGCATCAATGGCACTTCACCAGCAAGCTGACTCACTGATTAAAAAAATAAAAAATTTAAAAAAACAGGCTGTGTGTGTTTTCTAAACTTCTACTCAACAGCTTGACCACTTTCTCTCAAATGGAAATCAAACAGTGACAAAAACGGAAGAAAGAAAATAGTCCCAATAGTTTGACAAATGCTGTTATAAACAGCAAATTGTTATATTTGGAAATTTGCACACAACAGATCCTATTTACAACCTTACAAGAAAACAATTCGCAGTAAACAAATCAGGCGATGCATGTTAAATTAATTTTCAAGCTGATGAGCACTGGTTTTCAAAAGCTTATTGCACATGTCAAGCTTTCACTGTATAGTGCAACAGTAAGCTCAGGTGTCTGTCATCATTTAGGCTTCACCGCAGTCGTCATGTTGGTCACGCCATCATCGTTATTATTGGTTTTCTTATCGAAGATGATGTGGAACCTCCACCTGGGGGAAAAAATAGAAGCTGAATCAGATAAAGGTTGTTTATTAGATGCTACACAAAAAGCCAGTGCTGTAAAGTGTCAGGTCAGTTGTTATCAAAGCTCCGGAGAACAGTTTCTATAAATACCTGCAGCGCTGAGTGGATGGAATTTAACAGCTACAGTGAGAGACCCCCATTATCTGAGGGCAGAGATGATTTTCCACAACAATGTGACGAGCTGAGCTACGGCTCCTCTTAATGGTAAAAACACTTCCTTTGCAGAGGTGCTTTCCTTTTAGTTTCGTGCAATTATGTTTGTTTTCCATTTCAGCTTATCATCCACTTCAGGGTAAAAACATGAAACACGACCAACCTGGCTGACTCTTTATTCTCTGTCCTTTGCTGGGCGTGAAAGCGATGTGTTCATGCTAAAGTGCGGGCTGGCGGCCTACAGCACGCACCAGAATGAGTCACCGCTGACTCTTTGTCATCCTCGTCTAAATTTACCTCCCCACTTGTTCAATGTATGTTAGATAAGAGCTGCAGTTTTGCCTGAATGTTTCTCTGCCTGCATCTCACCCGTTTCAGGTTGCGGACGCTGCTTTTGCGGATGGACTCCATCAGCTGATCGTGGGCAGACCTCATGGGGGTGGACGGCCTGCTGCCCTCCTCCCCTCTCCTGTCCCCCGCCACGGGCCTCAGGGCGTTCTTCAGCTCCGTCAGGATGCTGCTCGTCTCGTCTTTGCCCGCCCCTTTCCCCTTCTTGGCCTTCTTCCCTTTTGTTTTGGACGCCTTCTTGCTGCCTGCCTCGTGGGCCTTGATGACCTCGGCAATCATCCTCGTGGGCTTCTTCTTCTCCTGCCGTGGGAGCGAGGGTGGTGGGGGAGGGGGAGGAGGTGGGGGAGGAGGTGGCGGCGGCGCTGGTGGGATTTGCTTTCGGGCCAGGTCATTTCGGGGAGGTTTGGGTGAGGACCATGGGGAAGTGTAAGGTGATGACCTAGGTGTTACTTTCTACAGAACAAAAAGGAAAATACGAATAAATTCTTACAAACAGATAAAAAAACTACTTGCAGCTGAGGTAAATTGATACCAAATTAATAAACCGAACAGATCTCCAGCGCCAATCCTCTGTAAGATGAGAAGCCACTAACCAGTACAGATGTCCGAGGGTTGACGGCTCCATCTTGCGCCCCCTGTTGACCTGGCTGCAGCTGCCTCTGCTCCTGCAGTCGTTTCTGTCTCTGCCGGTCCTGATTCCTGGTCAAGATCCCGGTCATGCTCATTCTGGGACCAGGAAGGTTAAACTGGTAACCCAGTTTGAGCAAATTGTAGTTTTCCCTCAGAATCTTCACCATCTCCATCTCCACCTGTAGATCGGTAAAGAATGGCTCGTTATTGTGTTGTGACAAGACCACGGAGGAGTTTGATCCCGACCGAAACCAACCTGTCCTCCACACATGTGCCTCTGGTTGTGGAACCGAAGCTCAGTCAAGGTGCTGTTCCCCGGAAGCGCTTGCACCAATGCCATCACACCCTTCCCACTCACATAGTTGGACTCTACGTTCAGACTGATGATGGACGAGTTCTCCCTCAACATCTTAGCAATGGCCAGAGCTACGTGGTCATCGGCCCGAGTGTTTGCGAGACTGAAGACTCGTACGTGGGTGTTGGGTCGCAGGGCTTCGGCGAATCGAATGAGAGTTTCCTAAAGAATATGATCAGAGAACATAAACATGAATAAATACCACAAAGCAGCTTCTTCTCAGGAAAAACACATCACCGTTTTTGTTATTCTTATAGGGTTAGCGAAGGCTGAATGAGAGACCCAGCATCCCTTGAAGRAATGCATGTCTCTCACCATCTCACACTCCAATGTTTTAAACAAAGATATCTGTTGTAAAGCTCAGAGTATGCACCGGTTATGTCTCTATTATCACACCAAGTTTCAGCTCAGTATTTGTAAAATTAATCAAATTACACCCATTTTTGTGTTTTTTATGTCGATTAGATTCGGTGACCATCTTGAGTTGGTTACAATCCATGCACTCGTTCTTGAAATAATTATTTTAGACCTATTAAGTTTCCCATGCCCTGGATTACTGGTTGACACAATAATTTGGATGTTCTCACCAAACATCATCCAGTTTTCGAGTAGAAACTCTTGGTAAAACCTCAGCTGAAGCTCATTTAAAGAGTTTTCGAGACATTAAAAAGTTGTACCTGTGAGATGTCATCGATGTTGTTCAGATTAACCTCTGTGACTTCAGGGTCATTGCTCAGGACTTTCTGCAGGGCGTCGTCAACAACTGTTGGGTTTCCAGTTGCGTTCAGGTCAACGGGTGGAGGAGGGGGTGGAGTTACCCGCATAGGCTCCACCCTCTGAGGCTTCAGTAGGGTTGGGCTGTTCGCCTGTGCTTTGAAGAGACTTGAATCGTTCAAGGGTTCAGGCTTGGATTTATTGTCTTTTTCCTCCTCTTCCTCCTCCTCTTCATCCTCTTCCTCCTCCTCTTCATCCTCCTCCTCCTCCTCCTCCTCTTCTGTTACAGGTTCCTCTTCTTCGCTTTCCTCTTCTTCCTCGTCACTGCTCTTCTTTTCATTTTCAGCTATCTCTTTCGAATGTTTGTGCTTTTTAAGTTCTTTCTCGTTCTCGTCATTTTTTTCATCGTCCACTTCACTGTCTTTTTGTGTCAAGCAGCCTTCCTCCTCTTCTTCATCCTGAGTTTGAACAAAATTACTATTTAAAACACCAGATTATATTCATCTTAAAGCCTCAGTCAAATATGCCGCACTAGTCAAACAACAAAAACGTCGATCTAAAAGTTATCACCCACCAGTTTGGGGCTTCCTCCTCCTCCTATCTCGTCCTCCAGGAGCCTCCGAGTCTCGTTTTCCCAGTATTTCATCAGGGCCTCTCTGCTGAAAGTCCCCGTCGGAGTCTTATCTGTCTGATCTCTCTGTCTGAGTCCTATTGGCACGTTGGCATCAGGATCGATGTCTGCCAACTCTTTTTCCAACTCGGCCAGCTCCTCCGGGCTGAGCGAAGCCAAAAGCTCATCCTCGTCGACATCTTCGTACTTACTCAGCTCTCGACGGTACCCGAAACAACTCATGGTCAATTCCTGAACGGGGCGAGCCAGTCAAAATTAAACTATCGCAAAAGTCAGTGTAAGGAGATCCCGATGAAAGAAATGGTCCACCATAAGACTGCTGGAGGTCTACAACCCGAATGGATCATTGGAAAATCAAGGTCCAGATAAACTCATCCACGCCAAGGAGAAATGTTTGTACAAACCAAAGAGGATTCCAAAAGAAACCCACTACACTTGAATGAGTTTATGCCAGGGAGACAGTGTGTGTCCGTGTCCTCTCCTGTCTAATCTCGCCAGCTGCCGTTCAGGCTTTAAAAAAGGGATCAGAGGGGAACGTAACAAGTGTAGGCCCCATGATGCGGTGTCTTTTTTTGGGAGTCACTGCCCCCCGAGCTTTGAGGCAGAGCTACAAAAAGCCTGTGAGCTCAGAAGCTCTGCTGCCTGTCAGTGAAGCAGTCCGTCACTGCGGCTCGAAGGCCTTTGTTTGTGATCCAAAAAAAGATCAACTGGACCAAACAGATTCACAGAATAAGAAAGATTAACAGAGATAATATATCTCCACAACAAGGGAGTTTATTTTTTTTAACCATCGGACAACAGACACAATTTAAAAAGCACGATTGCTTTCTATTATTTACCACTTTGCAAGCCAGTAACCCATCAGTAACTTAACAATGATGCAGCATTATAGACTGTAAATGCTGATCCTGACATTATGCTCTACACAACCTAAATAATGCCGATCAGAGAGATGAACCAAATGAGACGATTAAAAGAAAAACACTTCCTGTCGTGATTTGACAATAAAAAGAGGACAAAGAATCACACAAAGAGGGCGTTAAAGGCCATTGACCCTGCTGGTTATGTTGTGAGTGAAAGCATTCTTTGGACTCCCAGAGGCTTAGTTTGACATTTCTTTGCAAGAAACCGGAGGATCCCTGAATGTTCTGACTAAACCCACTGGTGAATCTGGCAGTACTTCAGTGAATTTAAGATATCCAGGTCAAATTTTCATTTTGTCATTTTTGAAACAGAAACTTATATAAAAAGAGAATAAAAGTTGGACACTTTAATGCTTTTAAGCTTAATACTAAATGCTTATTGCGTGTATATTTTTCTCAATGTTACTGAATGTAGCTAAGACCAGCTATAACAGAAAATTATTAGAAATTAACATCTGATGAAGACCAAACATTTACAAATTTATAATTTTTACCAACAGATTCTGCATTTAAGTGTGCTTTAAGGCATTTTTTCTATGTAGTGGGTCAAACATGGACTTTTCAAATAAATTATCTTGAAAAAAGTCATAATTCACAAAAACAAATAAAGATGTAAGTTTTAGAATGTAAGAACAGTCTTAAATGCATGTTTGTATAATTGTTGGGTCAAGTTTACCCATAATTGTTGCAGCTAACGCAGTGAAGGAAAAATGTTAGCTTCATCATATTTATTTTAAAAAAGAACAATTTACACAAATTATACGACAGTACTTTAAAAAACAACGTTCTGATTAGTTATAAAAAATATCCACACCTAAAACCAGCTCAAAAGTGCTACTTCCTGTCTTCCAACACAATTGTGTCAAATGCTACAGTTCTACGAAACAGAGATTTGCTAGAACATTAGTGGTTATCGTGAAGAGCAAGGATCACATCAAACAAAGGTAAATTTGGAAACCGTGCGTCATTTTCTTTTCGTTTCACAAATCTTCACCACTTTATGTAAAATCCCAGTAAAACACTTTGAATCTTGAGGTTGTAACATCTTAAAATGTGGGAAAATTCAGGGGTGGGGTGAAGGTTAAAGTTCACCGCACAGGTCGTACTCTCTGTACGTCAGGTAGCTCATCAGTCTGGGAGGGAACGGAGCTGCAGCCATGGCCTCGGGGTCATTCAGCCTCCTGAGGCTCATCTGACCCCTGATAACCAGACGACACAAGTGCTGCAGCGAGCGTGGCTGACCTGAGGATACACACACAAGAATAACCTCCAGCTGGTGAGATTATTCAAATTTTTTCTTTTATTACTGTTTTTATCGTGTGCGTTTGGAATTGTACCGAGTATGGCAGAGATCTCTTCCCACTCCGGTGTCCTCTCCAGGACGCGTTTCAGGTCCGAGCAGATGTCAACGTGGCCAACGTAGTCCAGCAGAATCCTTACCAGGCTGCCTACCAGGTGAGTCAGCCATGACACGGACACAAACTCACAGAACTATAAAATAAAATAAAATAAAATAAAGATTGTAAATAATTTAGTAAATTTGCCCCTTTTGACTCAAAACTACTCACATCCTGGGGATCTGTGGAACAGCTTAAAGAGTTATCTACAACAGATAAGATATTTTTGTTTACAGAAGATTTCTTACTGAGATGACATCAGGTTGGCAGTAAATCCGGTAGGCTTGATTATGCAGGTCAGCCCAGGAGCCATCCTTGCTGTCATTATGGCAACACTGAAAGCACCTAACAGAGGAGATTTGTAAAATGGTCCAATGTTTCGTAATTTCTTCAGTACATTGATTTCAGCTTCTATATATAAAACATTAGACTCCTGGAGCTTCTTATTTCATTTAACATCAGCTTAACGTGCTTGTGAGCGTGGTATCCACTGTTGAGCAGCAGCCGTAACATGACGTGGTCTCTGAGGCAGTACTGGAGGGCCGTGGGGAACACCGTGTTGCAGATGACACGGAAATAACAGTTCACCTCTGCTCCGTAGGTCAGCAGCAGCTGCACCAGAGCGTACCTGCACACGCAAACAGCTTCAGCCTGAGTTATAAAGCGTTGAAACATGCAAAGGTTTTCCCCGCTGACCTCTCTGCGCGCACAGCTACCAAGATGCATCGCAGAGGGTCCAGGTCGGTTCTGGCTCCGGCTGCCAGCAGGATCTCAGAGCAGGTCACGTCCCCGTTGGAGACGGCAAAGAACAGAGCGGTCTTCCTCATGTCATCGTAGTTCTCTTTAAAAACAAAAGTCCATGAGGTCGTTTTTCAATTCTGAGTCAGCATTCACATCGTTGTTTCTGTTTAAAGTTTTTTGTTGTTGTCCTGATGCATCTCAGTAATCCMGGTAAAAAATCAAAAAGAAAAAAATTGTATAGGTCTTCTGGACGGGTTCTTCTCTAATGAAACGTTTCGTCTCTCCTCCAAGAGACTTCTTCAGTCTGAGAGTTTCAGGCAAAATTCAGGCTTTTAAGCCCTGCTTCCATGTGACTGATACTCACATCACATGGCTATCGTTGACACCTAATTAACACCTATTGTTAACAGGGGGTGGAGTGATACTGGCAATAGCCGCACTGTAGGAGGGGGACAACTGAAAACAGAGGCCTCCACCTCTGTTTAATGATGGACGGTCTTTCTTCACAAAAATGGCTTCTTTTACTCCTCTCTCAAACCAACGTTCCTCTCTATCAAGAATGAGAACATCCTCATCTCTGAAAGAGTGACCGCTGGTCTGGAGCAGTGTGGTTATCCTGACTGGGCTTTCCTGAAAGCAGACAGGAAACACAGACAGGATTCCATGCAACCTTCAGGTGAAAATGAAGACCCCAAACTCAGACCCAAACCAGTGGTTATTCCGTATGTTGCGGGTGTTTCGGAGAAACTGAGACGTTTATTTTCTAAACATGATGTGAAACCAGTGGCTTTCAAACACCAAAACACATTACGGCAAAGGCTGGTTCACCCCAAAGATCCGGTGCCCCGGCACAAACAGAGCAATGTTGTATATGCTGTTAAGTGCCAGGAGGACTGCGACCAGTTATACATCGAGGAAACAAAGCAGCCACTGTTCAAAAGAATGTCCCAACACAGACGAGCTACATCTAATGGCCAGAACTCTGCAGTTTTCACTCATTTACAGGCCAGCGGTCACTCTTTCAGAGATGAGGATGTTCTCATTCTTGATAGAGAGGAACATTGGTTTGAGAGAGGAGTAAAAGAAGACATTTTTGTGAAGAAAGACCGTCCATCATTAAACAGAGGTGGAGGCCTCCGTTTTCAGCTGTCCCCCTCCTACAGCGCGGCTATTGCCAGTATCACTCCACCCCCTGTTAACAATAGGTGTTAATTAGGTGTCAACRATAGCCATGTGATGTGAGTATCAGTCACATGGAGGCAGTGCTTAAAAGCCTGAATTTTGCCTGAAACTCTCAGACTGAAGAAGTCTCTTGGAGGAGAGACGAAACGTTTCATTAGAGAAGAACCCGTCCAGAGGACCTATACAATTTTTTTCTTTTTGTTTTTTTATTGTTATTATTTTAACAAGTCTTTTGTCAAAATGTTCAGCTCAGCTGGATTTAATGTGCTTTTGTTTTCGGTCACTTTGATACTTCTAAAATAATTTAATGTTATTTCAAATAAAATACTGATGATTTTAGCTTTTAGCTATGGTTTAGCCTATTTTAGCTTTTAGCTACATTTTTGATGATTTTATTTTTAGCTACTGTGCAGCCCTTTGCCTTTTTAACAGAAAATGTGGATTTTTCTATTTCACATTGTCCTAAATGTCCAGTCTGTAGTTCAGACTGGTTCCTCAACCTAAAAACCGGATTCATAATGGTTTTGTTAAAGGTTTCATTAATTGATAAATTAATAAATAATTTTAAATATGTATTTGTTTCTGTTTTCTACCAGAGATGTGTTTTTCTAGCTGGGCGTTGATATCGTAGCCTCTCTGGATGAGGAGCTCGAGGCAGTTAGCCTGCCCCCCATCAGCTGCAGAGTGGACCGGGCTCTGGCCCGACAGACGGATTGCTCTCTTTGTGGTGATGGGGATGAGGGTTCTCAGGGCTCTACACGGGGAGAAAGAATGGGAGGAAAAACAGCCACACAGACACTGAAAAACACAAAACAGGACACGCTCATTATGTTGTGGTTTGAGATTCGGTCTTTTTTAGGGCCTGAGCTGAAGACAGTGGGCTCATTGTGCAGATTTCTAGAGAAAACACTGCAGAGCTGTCAGATGGAGAAGATAGACACGTGTTTTTATGTGGTTGGCTTGGTACGGTGCAACAAATAGAAAGTAAACACAATGTAATTTGTTTAGACCTCATTGACTTCTAGGAACTAGGTTAACGGGTTTAAATTAAATTAAACAATGCCGTATCTAATGCCTAAACAGAATGTAGTTTCTCCTCTCAGAATAAAGTCAAACAGCCTCATAGAAGACGAACTCACAGAATGTGGCCTTCATAGGCAGCTCTGTGGATGGGCAGCTGACAGGCGTAGCTGGCCACGTTTGGGTTGGCTCCGTTCTTCAAAAGCAGCTGGACACAGTCCAGGTTTCCGGACCCGGACGCATCATAAAGGACCGTGTCTCCATTGCTGGCCTGGGCGTTCACGTCACCACCTGGTGGAGGGCAGACAAAGCACAGCACAGTCAGATGAGTGGAGGAAAGGACACGTTGGGTTTGAATGTCTCACCATTCTGGATGAGGATCTCCAAAGCTTCGGTGTTGCCGTGCTCGGCCGCAACCCCCAGAGGTGTGACTCCGTGACCGTCCCTGGCCGTGACTTTGGCTCCGTGTCGAAGCAGCAGCATCAGAACTGCTGGACAACCCACCTGACGTGAGAGACAAGAAGCAAGTACTTACAGGTTAAAAAAAATAAATATTTAGCGCAGTACTTTAGGGCCTTTTCACCTTCGCAGCTTCATGTGTTGCCGTCCACTTCCTGAGACACACCTGCTCCACAAAGGCCCCACCCATGATGAGGGCTAAAACCATGTCGTACGAGCTCTGTCTCACTGCTTCAGAACGCACAAACACAACATGAGTGCCAACTTTACGACACACGTTGAAGGAGAAACTGTAGTTCGTACAGGCAAAGCCAACTTTTATAAAATTAGATCAAAAAACAAATAAAAATAACAATAAAWAAGCCAGTTCAGTTTGAACGCACCTTATTGGTAAATACAAAATCAAACTATGAAATCAAACATTAAAAAGATTACTCTGGTTAATGGTGCAGTTTGAATGTTTCCTCCAGCAGTTTTCCAGATTTATTTATATTTTATTCTGAAATGCAGGTACGCACTCAATGTAAACAAAGCACTTTTAATTGCAAATTTAACTCAACAAATCTCAGCATAAATATGTAGCAATAAATCCAAATTTTTGACTTAAACAACACTTCTATGGATGTCATTTTTTTACCCATTTTCATTAACTTTGTTTTTGTAGGTAAACAGTTACATGATACATAAAACATCAATATGACAAAAGAATTGTGTGGATTTATTTACTTTACTGTTTTGTTTTGTTTTTTTTTGGATTGGTCCTCACGGTTTAGCAATGAGTATTTTTAATTTGTTTATTCCCAACCCAAGTTGACACAAATTAACTGGAAGAAATCAGCCAAGCTTTGCAAAGCTTCGAAAAGAATGACATATTTGARTTAATTGGCCCCAAACAGACGTGTCTGGTGGTGTTTATATACCGATCAGCAGAGGAGATTCGTTCCTGCTGTTGGTGTTGTGCGGCGACGCCCCGTGTCTCAGCAGCATCCTGACGTTTTCCACCCGGCCGGCCTCGGCTGCCAGAGTCAGAGCCGTGTCGCCGTCCTTCGTCTTCTCCTCAAGGGTCAGGTCCACGGATGCCAGCGCTGCAAAGGGAGGTGGAAACAAGGGGCACGAGTGTGCATCCTAACCTGCAGCTTTAATCCAGCTGTAAGTGCTGAACTCTGACCTTGCAGCGCTGCGTGCAGGATCTCTGGAAGAGGCTGCGCGGCCGCTGCGTGCAGAGGCAGCCGGCCTCTGCTGTCGCTCTCTGTGAAGGCAGACGCGCAACATCTCAGCTCCTGCAGCGCGTCCACGTCACCTGAGGACATGCACAGAACCCAGAGCCAAACATTAGGATTACTTACAGTGGCGTGAGAAAGTGTGGGCAGCCTTGTTCATTTTCCTGAGTTCCAATAATTAGTTCTAAAGGTTTTGAAATCAATAAAATGACAACAGTGTCCATATTTATGCACCTGCCTAATTTTGTTAAACTAATTATTGCACACATTTTGCATTTCACTTCTCAAATATCACTATTTGTCCCCTATATGATTTATTTATCTGTTTTTTTAATCCAAATAATCAATGATTTATGAAGTTAAATCAGGAAAATTAACAAGGCTGCCCAAACTTTTGCACCCCACTGTCAGAGTCTATCTAACTTCACTAATGTTTGCTTGTGTACCTTTATTGATGGCTGTCATAACCTTCACAAAGTCTTCACTGTTGGGTTGATTCCTAGACAGCAAAAAAAGCTCTTTCTCCTCTTTTTTCATCCTTATAAATGCCTTAAAGATTTACATTTTTTCCTACCAGTTGCTTTGAACTGAGCGAGGAAGCGTGCAGGCATCTTGAATACTCTCAAGAATTGCAAACTCAATGAGCTCCTCGTCGATGCCTTCCTGTTCAAAGTCATCCATCTCTGAGAAAAGAAATAGTTTTTAAAAAAAAGGACGTTTTGCTAAATGTTCAAATGACGCTGACGTGCTGAGGTCACATCTGTCTCTAGTTTGGGTAAACAGTTACGGTAACRACAAAATTCATGCAGGAAACCGCAGCAAATGCAGAAATGTCAAGGTTGACGGCGCAGAACTGAAGTGGTATTTTGTGTTATTCGTGTTAAATCTCACCTTGTGATCTGCGATCTGAGTTCTCCAGCGGGCAGCTCGTGTGTTTTTGTTTTTCAACGTCCTAGGCTGTCTGGATTATTTTTAGAAGTGGCCTGCTTTAGATGACCTGACTCAACACTGAGTGCACGCGCCTGTCGTCTTTTCAGCTCTCCAACAACTCCACTGTGACATTTACACCCGATCATTTGGTGATAAAAAACACCACAAACATCACAAACTGCTCTAAAGTAAGAAGTGAAAGTGGAAACTCTTGTTGGATACAAGAATAAACAGCAGAACTGTTTCTTTCCATTGATAATCTAAGTCGTGGGAGGTCAAACTCATGTTCACAGAAGGCCACATGAGCATTATGGTGGTCCTCAAATGGCCAGATGTTATTAACTTCAGTGTTTCGTGTTTAACTTCGACTAAACAGAAAACCTTACATTCCTCTTCTCATTGCCACGACTGAGCACCACTAACAAACACTAACTGAGCTCTACGTGGTATTAACTGCATAGAAACAGCATTTCAGTAAATCCTCTAATAAACAACGAAAAGTACTACGATTAAAAAAGGTATGACTGGCTAAATGTGAAATAAATAATACAGAAATACTATTAAAACTTTTAAAAGTAAGTTTTATTCACTGTTGATTTGTTGTATGTCTTAAATTCTGAACTCTCACAACCTTCCTACAGGGCATTCCCATATCAACATGCATCATGGGAGATGTAGTTTATGGTCAATGCTGGCTTTAAAGCAGCTTATTTTGAGACATTAATACAGGGATATTTAACAAAACTGCTCAGGGAGCCACAGTTACTTAAACCCAACAGCCTAGGGGCAGGACAAGTATTATTATTCTTTACCTTTTAAATGTGTTTATTTTGTTGTATTGAATGCAACTTAAGGTTTAGCATTGCCACAAAAACTATTTCCTTTAACAGCCCCTGAAATTCCTTAAAAGCCTTCTGATATATTTTGAAAATTTTTTAAGGTTGTCAAACTAAAGGTGAGAAATCTTGTATTTATATGCATGTTCACAACCACACAAAAATAGACATTTGGATCCTGGGGTTTCTGACAATCACTGGATGTATATATCTGTGTGTGTGTATATATACAGTAT